TGGTACCAACGGAAAGGTCTTGTCAGAGAGAACCCACATGTGAAATATGAACTTCTTAAAAATCTCAAAGAAAATGGATAAGTGGCAAACAACTAGTTTTTTTTTAAATTAAAATGAATACAATTGTTCAACAAAATTATTTTGGGAGCAATCATTTTTTTTAAAATACCCACATCACAATGTTTTCAGTTGATGTGGGTCAAAACGCTGTTAGGAGCAGTATATTCTTTATCACATGAGCATTTGTACACTATGTTAAAGTTCTTCAAGTAAAACCGCATCAAAGACGTTGGACCCATCTCCCCAAGTGAAATTGAATCAAATTTCCCTTTTTCTCGGCCTTGCTCATATTTTATAATTCGTACTGGCAACTCATTTGGTAGAGTTTGTTAAAGTCCGATATTTTTGAATTAGCCTAGAAATTCTCAGCCAATTTTATTTGCAGTGGTTGTTAAAGGATATGAGATACCAAACGAAAGCATGAAAATTGCAACAAATGTCGGGAGATTCGAAGTCAAACTCTGCGACAAGTGCTAATTCAATCACTTTGTCATGTTTTGTGGCAATTCGAAACTCAGCAAAGAACTGGCAGATAAGCATTCCACCGACACGCCCCTTTGAGCCATCCAATGGCAACATTGAGAGCATCTCATGATATATACCAAACATTATCTCCAGATTTAAAAGAATTGAATTTAAGATTAACATTGTATCAGTTTCTTCTTCCATAATATCCTCTTTTTCAACTTGTTGCATGTAGCATAAATATTTGTCTTTTCAGGTGTGGCAATACCTTTCATCTCGGATATACTCATTTTTGTGTTTTGATCGGTTTATAAGTAGACTGCAATTTCTACATCTGTTATACAATTTCACAGGTTGATTTTCCCTTTTCTGTCTTCTTATAATGTTGAGTAAAACAAGTTTGATTTCCAAATTTACAGTTGCAGGTTTCACAATATTGCCAATATTCAGATTCGTCCTTGTGAAGCTTACAACAAAAATGACAGGGGTTGTACAGTCATGCTTGTCATTTCTTGCGATCATATCATTTTTAACAATTTTCTCAGAAAAAAATTATTTTGAGAAATCTCGTCATTATACCCCCACCACAAAATGGGGGGGGGGGGCTATAATGGATTCGCTTTGTCGCGTCCGTCTGTCCGTCTGTCCGTCTCCATTTTCGTGTCCGCTCTATAACTCCTATACCAATTGAAGGATTTTCTGCAACTTGACTCAAATGTTCACCTCAACAAGGGGATGTGCAGAACCCATGTTACTTATGTGTCAGCTCAAGGTCAAGGTCACAATTGAAGGTCAAATATCAAACACAATCAAATATTAGACAGTATGTCCTGTCCGCTTTGTAAGTCCTACACTTATTGAAAGATTTTCTTCAAACTTGGCTCAAATGTTCACCTCAACAAGGGGATGTGCAGAACCAATGCTGCTCATGTGTCAGCTTAAGGTCAAGGTCCCAATTGATGGTCAAATATCAAACACCGTCAAATATTAGACAGTATGTTGTGTCCGCTCTGTAAGTCCTACACTTATTGAAAGATTTTCTTCAATCTTGGCTCAAATGTTCACCTCAACAAGGGGATGTGCAGAACCCATGTGCCCATGTGTCAGCTCAAGGTCAAGGTCACAATTGAAGGTCAAATATCAAACAATCAAATATTACACAATATGTCGTGTCTGCTCTGTAAGTTCTGCACTAATTGAAGGATTTTCTTCAGACTTGGCTCAAATGTTCACCTGAACAAGGGGATGTGCAGAACCCATGTTGCCCATGTGTCAGCTCAAGGTCAAGGTCACAATTGAAGGTCAAATATCAAACAATCAAATATTACACAGTATGTTGTGTCTGCTCTGTAAGTCCTACACTAATTGAAAGATTTTCTTCAATCTTGGCTCAAATGTTCACCTCAACAAGGTAATGTGCAGAACCCATGTCACTTTTGCCAGCTTAAGGTCAAGGTCACACTTGAAGGTAAAAAATTGACTTAGAAAATATTCTTAAATTTTAACATTTATTTGAATATTTCTGAATCTAGAAAAGATATTTGTATGAAACTTAAAATATATATGGAGTGTAACAATTAAGATATGCTGGTCAAGTTTCATAACTCTGTATTGCATTTTAACATAATTATGCCCCTTTTTAAGTCTTCAAATTTACATACAATCAAATATTAGACAATATGTCGTGTCTGCTCTATAAATCCTATACTAATGGATGAATTTTCTTCAAACTTTACTCAAATGTTCACCTCATCAAGGTTATGTGCAGAATCCTTATCACCTTTGTGCCGGCTAAAGGTCAAGGTCACACTTGAAGGTAAAAAATTGACTTAGAAAATGTTCTTAAATTTCAACATGTACTTGAATATTTCTGAAACTAGCACAGGTTTTTACTTGAAACTTAAAAGATATATGAGGTGTCACAAATAAGATATGCAGGTCAAGTTTCATAACTCTATATTGTATTTTGACAAAGTTATGCCCCTTTTTAAATCTTTAAATTTACATACAATCGATACTAGACAATATGTTGTGTCCGCTCTATAAATTCTATATTAATGGAAGGATTTTCTTCAAACTTTACTCAAATTTTCACCCCAACTGGGCGAGGGCAAAACTCATATTACCCTTGTGCAAGCTTAAGGTCAAGGCCACACTTGAAGGTCAAAAATTGACTTATAAAATGTTTAGTACATTGGGAAAATGAAAGGTTATTTATAACTGTTTCGAACATGATTTGATAATACATATTTATACTATAACCTGTACAATTAGTCTTTTTTTCACCAGAAATAATTTCTTTTTATGTATTTGTGCCACTTAAGTTATTCCCTTAACCACCTTTCCAAGTCGTCTTCTGTCAAGGACATTGGTGGGGGTATGAATCGCATTCAGCGATAGTTCTAGTTGACATTATCAAGTTCAAATAATATTTAGATATATATCCAGACCTTGATAAACAAGTCGAGATTTTGATGCTAAAGCATCAAGTCGCCGGATAGAAAAATGATTGTATTATCATAAATATAAGAAAATATAAGTTTAATGGTTCAAGTATAAATATAAGAGGAACAATGAGTTGAGTATTGTTTGCCACTGAGGCTTGTAAGGCAAGTGCTATGCTGGTAATTCTTCTTGTAATTGTACTTTATAAATAAACTGTTGTACCATACATTGAAATCTGTATAGGTTACTAGTTCAGATTCAGATAATTACCGACAAATGATTACCGATCATCGAATATTTGCAAAGTGATTATGAAAATATATATGTTTAATTATTTCTTGAAACAATGCAGTTTTACTGTAAAAGTGTTGTACATCATTATTATGTGCTACCGAAAAAATATATAATTTAGTTGAAATCAATACATGTATTCCCATCGTTACATACGATATACATGTATATATAATTAAAGTTTAATTGCCTTTCAGTGCGATAAACTATCAACACAAAGATAGTTTATTATTTTTTTCTATGTATCTAATACGATTCCGGACCCCTTTGGAACCTGCGTGACGGAAACCGACGGAATATACCGAAATCAACGATTACCATTATTTATTTCAATAATGTGTCTCTTACATGTCTTAAGCATAAACTTATTTTGGGATGTTCAACCTAAACTAAACTATTGAACTTTCTAGTCGAAAGTTTGACAGAAAGGGCCAAGTTTAACCCTTTATCAAGAAGAAAGGAAAAGGTTTTGAAAATTTATTTTTAATGCGTAAAATATGAGTAAACAGGTTTGTCTGATGATATAAAGTATGAAACTGATTAATGAAAAATAACTTATGTAATTATCTGTACAAAATTACAATGATTTGCATCTTACCAGCTACCATACTTTTGCCAACCATTAACATGTTACCTGTGTGCTTTATCAGCAATCTGTTACTATTAATAGATTTTATAACGATATACAACATATAAAACATGTAGTCATGTGATTCTTACGAAAGACCAGGGAGAATTTGTTTATAATAAGATAAAATAATGTAATATAATAGGTCTCATAAAATATAAACAACCAAATAATTTTAAAGTGTCATTTCAAATATCATTCATGATTTATATATTATAAAATAGCAATGCTTGACACATAGAAAAAAGTAAAAGTAACCCCAATATTCAATGACTGATCCTTGGGGATACGTTATTGATTCATTTTATGAAAATTATAATGTTGCTTTTTAAGATGTCAATATGTGCATATTTCATTTTAATGAGCAAAGTTATCATATGTTTGAATTTTTGAGATTGCTGAAAAATAATTGTTGTCTTTAATTGTTCAATGATTGACATGTTTTAATTTTCAGATTTTAAGGGCTTCTCCTACCATAGGTATAATATTAAACTGTTACAAATATAGTCGCCAGTTTCTACCGGCGACTAATAATAACATTGAAGTGAGCTTTACACATCACTTGTATTTGATAGTTTATAAGGAAGATGGATCTCTTCACTTCTTCTATCCTACAATTTCCAATTGGCACAGCCAATTCTGTAGTTTAATTCTCGCCTTAAAGGCAAAACCATCCTTCCAATCTTTTGTGTAAAAGGCATTTTAACTCTTGCCTTATAGGCATTGCCATATTTTAGCTCTTGCCTAAATAATAATACCATATTTCTAACCTTTGTGACCCCATGATGTTCATAAAACAGGAAACAATAAGTTTCTGACATAAATCGACCATTTCTTGTCATTCATTAAATACTTGATAATCTATGTTTATATATAAACATTAATTTTTGGAGGTTTGTTACATTGCCAACTTGTAACTATGGATTTGGTGCCCAAATTGGTTTGAGGTAAGTTTTTAATGAGAACACCAAAACTTGAACTTATACCCTTAAATAAACACAAAAAGAAAATGAACACAGACTTTATTAAATAGAACACAATAGCTACGGTTAAGTTTTTGTTTCTTCTTTGTCATGGTTTCACAGTTGTCTTTTTTTTTTCAAGTGATGATTCACTGATTAGCGCTGTAAGTCCACCTTGGAAATGTGAGTGGTGACACAACTGTCAGCTGTTCCAATTTTGACACTACTGTCCGCTGTAAAGCACCCAATTCGTAATATTGGGCCTCTTGTAAACACTCTAATAATTGTCCAATATTGTCTGGTAATGTCCTTGTGTCTGTAAAAAGTCTGTTTCTTAAATGGTTTATTACCATGCGAAAATGAGTTGGATCTCTGTCGTATGTCAGAGTCCTCGACTCCCCTAATTCTCCATTCCTCGAAGACAACGCAAACAGACTTGTTTGATCCAATGTTAGAGTTTGAAGACTTGTTTCGAAATACATACCACCTATGTTGAGAAACACACTATCTATTTCTGAGACACTATAACCCCTTAAAGTTGTGTCTGGATTTAGCCTGTCTTCTTCAGTATCTGTGGGTTCTTCTTCAACATGTACGTCCAAATTTACGCGTTTAGTGTCATTAAGTTCGGGAGTAATCTTTGCCCTTTTCTTAACATCATCTTTCTCTTTCTCTTCTTCACTCGATCCTACCTGAACTCTACTTCATTTAACTCTATCTTTCCTAACTTTAATTTCCCTTTTCTTAACATCACCTTTCTCTTTCTCTTCTTCACTGGATCATACCTGAACTGTTCTACATTCAACTCAACCTTTCCTTACTTCTTCTATCTCCTTTGTTTACACCACGCCGCAAAATAAGGGCAAATAGCCCAGAATCTATATCAGGTAAAACCAACGAAAAGCAATTTGATAAGCAAAAAATAAACAATGAATATCTACAAATAGATAAAATCTATCATATAAACAAAATATATATTTGTAATTATACCAAATGATATAATATAAACAGTTATGATTCCTTTTAAATAAAATTTGGTCTATTTATATGATTCTTTTATGTTTTGTCCATTTAGAGAAAGTCACAGAGGTCAAACTTGTATGGATGAAGTGAAAACACAACTCTAGTATTTGAATGAAAAAAGGGCATTTATTAAATGCCATAAAATACATATCAAGTAAAAAACGTTTTCACAAGAACATAACTGGGTGGAAAAAACCGCCCTCAATACAAACAAAAAACGTTTTCACAAGAACATAACCGCCCTCAATAGAAACAGAAAAAAAATGACAAAATACAAAGAAAATAAAATTTGAACAAATCCCCCTATGTTGATCTAACAAAAATCTTGTAAAGTATCGGCTTCATAGTTAACATTTAATATTGTAATATATAACATTTGAACAATGTATGTAACAAAGGCGAAAAATTATAAATAGTTCTACACTGTAACAATTACTTCAAAATTAGATAGATTGAAATGAAACTTGACAATACCGTTAGAGGAGGAGGCATTGGGAGGACTCTGGTGGTTTTCCAAAATAATTAGAAATTTTTTGCAAGCGTTTCATGCACGCAAAGTAAACAAAGACTAATGGCTGGGTCAATTTTGATTGGTTAATCGGGCTACGTTCTATTTATGTTCTGTCCATTTAGAGAAAATCACAGAAGTCAAACTTGTATGGATGAAGTGAAAACACAACTCTAGTATTTGAATGAAAATAAGGCATTTATTGTGTCGCCTTTACGGAGTAGTGGCGACATATAGGGATCACTTCTCCGTCGTCCGTCTGTCTGTCCGTCTGTCCGTCACAAAACTTGTCCGAACTACTCCTCATAAACTACTGGTGCAATTTCATCCAAACTTTACAGGAATGATCAGTACCAAGTCTAGTTGTGCACATTGTCAGCATTTTCCGGTTCAATGATTTTTGGCAGAGTTATGGCCCTTTAATAATTTTTAATTTTAAAGTTTGTCCGGACTACTTCTCTTATACCACTGAAGCAATTTCAATGAAACTTTACAGGATTGATCTGTAGCTCAAGTCCTTGCGCATATTGCAAGGGTTTTCCGGTTGAATGATTTTTGGCCGAGTTATGGCCCTTTGATAAAAAAGGTGTATTTTTCTGTGTGTTGCCAGATACACAAAAGCTTGTCCGGACTACTCCTCATAAACTACTGGTGAAATTTCATCTAATCTTTACAGGAATGATCAGTACCAAGGGTAGTTGTGCATATTATCAGCATTTTCCGGTTCAATGATTTTTGTCAAGAGTTATGGCCCTTTAATAATTTTTATTTTTAAAGTTTGTCCGGACTACTTCTCCTATACCACCAATGCAATTTCAATGAAACTTTACAGGATTGATCTGTAGCTCAAGTCCTTGTGCATATTGCACGGGTTTTCCGGTTGAATGATTTTTGGCCGAGTTATGGCCATTTGATAAAAAGGTGTTTTTTCTGTGTGTTGCCAGATACGCAAAAGCTTGTCCGGACTACTCCTCATAAACTACTGGTGCAATTTTATCCAAACTTTACAGGAATGATCATTACCAAGTCTAGTTGTGCATTGTCCGTCTGTCTGTCCGTCTGTCACAAACTTTGTCCCAACATGAAATTGGCCATCATGAGGCGACACATGTGATTACTAATCGCTCTTGTTAGATACCATAAAATACATATCAAGTAAAAAACGTTTTCACAAGAACATAACTGGGTGGAAAAAACCGCCATAAACTTTACCCAGAGCGACCTAACTGTGACTTGCACAAGATGGACTGATGACAAAACTTAGTTGTAGGTTATATTAACTAAGGCAACCATATATACAATGTCTAACATATAAACAATGACTGAACTGAACGACAACTGAAAAGGTATATTATGAATCATAATATAAAAAACTTGTAAATATCTTATCCAAAAAATTATACATAAAACTAGACTATGAAAGTCTATGTGAGACAGTGCAAAATATGAGAACATTTGAAAGACTAGAATACAAAGTAAACAACATAGCAATATGACACTGTGTAGATAGTAAACTATAACCTAATAAAAGATCTGCGGCCTAAAACCGTCCGACAAATACTAGTATTTCAAGATACTTCATTAAGGCAGGTGCCTCATGAGGAATTTGACCGTATATATTTCCACAAATCTTATGAAAGCAAACGTCCAGGCTTCAATGGTTGTAATTCTCCTAGGGCGAACTACGGGTTGGACCGAAATGTTCGAATGGTGGTCCATCTGAAGGGTAAACTTATGAGACTGAGAATGAGATAAAGGGGTATTGGGAAGTAAGACTGCCATATCAAGGAATTTATTTTTCCAGATAGCTTTGCTAATGGAATTTTTGACCTGGTTTATAATAGGCGAGCTAATCGGCTCTACAAATTGTGTGCCATTACCTGACAAAATAGAATAAGTGTGATTCTGAATAACATCTTGAAAATCGTCCCCTATGGACTCCTCGTCAGATGATGTGTCTTCGTCCATGTCAGGTGGATTTAATAAAGGTTACACAACTTCCTCCACATTTTGGACTTGCTGGTGTCTTGTGGGTTTGTCTCCGGTATCCACAACAGTTGGAATATTGTCAGCAGCTGAATGGTGTCATCAAGACAGGCCTGATCTAAATTAATAGCATGTGACTGTTGCCAAGCTGATGTAGATGGCACTTGATTTATCTTTGTTGTTGTTATTTTTAACTCTAGTTTTTGACTTGGTTGCCATGTTTTTGCTGTAGGCGCTTTTGTTGGCTTTCTTTTGCCTGGCTTTATCTGCAAAAAACCAAATAACCATTAAAACTGATATTAACTGAAAATTAAAGCCCTTTCATTCGTGAATGAACACATGGCAAGGCGTGTTAAGTAAGCCAAGCCTATATAAATACAGACATGAGAGCAGCAGAGCGTTTTAACTAAGCTGCGCCTAATATAATGTCTGTAAAATAACATAAAAGGCAGAGCGTGTAAACTAAGCAATGCCAAGCGAGCAACAGAGCATTTTAACTAAGCACTGCACCCGGTATAATGTCTGTGAAATCACATAAAAGGCAGAGCGTATAAACTAAGCAATGCCAAGCGAGCAACAGAGTGTTTTAACTAAGCACTGCACCCGGTATAATGTCTGTGAAATCACATAAAGGCAGAGCGTGTAAACTAAGCAATGCCAAGCGAGCAACAGAGCATTTTAACTAAGCACTGCACCCGGTATAATGTCTGTGAAATCACATAAAAGGCAGAGCGTGTATAATAAGCAATGCCAAGCGAGCAACAGAGTGTTTTAACTAAGCACTGAACCCAATATAATGTCGTGAAATCACATAAAAGGCAGAGCGTGTAAACTAAGCAATGCCAAGTAACTTCACTTAAAATTGAACAAAAGGCAAGGCGTGTTAACTAAGTCATGCAAACTGTAATAAAATTTCAGCAAAGCAGCATTGCGTATCAACTTAGCAATGCCTCATAGTAATCTATGAAGTAAAAAGAAAACCAGATGTATAAACTATGAACTCTACGCCATACAGTACAGATATCAAGGAATATGCAAATTTCTCGGAGGATCGAGGAATTCACTCGCAACTCTGTGAGAGTATTTTGCATTAAAAACGAGTGACTCCGCGTGTGAAACGCGTAACAAGAGTGACTCCGAGAGAAGAGTTAAATAGCGAGTCACTCCGAGAGAGAATTTCCGCGAGCCCCCGTGTCACTTCCCAGTTAATTCAAATAATTAATTAATAATGAATTGAATTTTATTTTTTTTTTTGCAGATTAAGTTCGTTTCTTGTGTTCCGAAAATCAGGTTCTTTTTCATGTTTTATTAATAACCAAGCGTCTACAGTTTACTTTATGGATAACTGGTTAAATGTTGTACCAACACGTTGCTTTTTCATTATTCCCTTTAAAAGGATACTCGGGCAAATGACAAAAATATTAAAATGATTTAATGTACTCAAATCACGCTAAAATGTTTTTTTTTTAATTTCCCATATAAATTCTATATATATAGATGTCGACAAAATCACCTGCCATGTGACTTGAAGTTAAAATAATAGATAAACTGAAGGCAGTCATGTCAATTCACGTGGGAACTATAGGAAACTCATCAGTATCGTGACCGTGATCTTTTCATTTAATTTGAGCCATGGGTTCACCCTCATACCTCAACTGGATCCAGCCAAAAGTCCATGGAACTATAGGAAACTAATTTGACACAATGACAGCTATATTGACGAAGGGAATTGTGGCAACTTGTCATTTCATATTCAATTTAAATATTGAAGTTTAAATAAATGATCCATTAACCAACTCTTCAATGTATTGAAACATCTTGAGAACAACCTTGTATGATATGTATGTACGGTAGCCATCTTGGATTTGGCAGCCATATTGGATTTTGAAAATGTGGCATCACTTATTTGTGGGTTGCCTGAATATGAATATTGGATAAAGACGATTTTATAAACTGTTCATTTCTTTCCAGACAACCCATATGTGACATAAGCCTATATATAAACTATTGATATATGCAGGGTTTCAGCTAGGATTTTGAAACCTTTAGTCACTTTTGCGGAAGACAAAAACTTGCCACTTTTTTTTTCCAAGCCAATAAATTCATAAGCGTATAAATAAATAAAAAAACACATCATTATTTCATGTTTAGTATTTTATAAATATTTTATAAAGTAATTATTTTTTAACTCCCACCATAATACACAACGGCACTTTGTGCTTATGTCATGGCCCGGTGTCCGTCGTCGTCCGTCGTCGTCGTCCGTAAACTTTTTTTAACTCCCACCATAATACACAACATCTTTACACATTTGGGATACACTTTGACACAAACTCTCATTGCAGAACTTGTAAAATCGACAGTAACAAGTGACTGTGTTGTATGCTTCGCCTGCACAAATAAGTAGGCCCAGGGCAGACTTTTGCTTCAGCACTACAGGCAGCAGTTCATACTTCAACTGACAATGATCTTTGTCCCTTAAGTAATGTCCGGACTTCACCGAAACATTTAACACTTCTCTGATACTTTTGCATTTTAAATCAATGACTTCAGCAACCATGTCAGGAACAAAATCCTTTTGATACACAATAATTGGTTCTTCATTGCAATGCTCGTCAAAAAGGTTTGATCTCTTATGTGGCCGTGCGTCTTCAGTTCTCTGTTTTTTTGGAGGTGTTCCCTCTGGCGAAGTTTCTGGGCTGCTGTAAGTAAAGGTGGGTATGAAGAATATTTTCCTCACAGCGGGATCGTTTGTGGCTCCCCCCATGGAAGTAACTGTGCAGTGTGGTAACAATTCCTCGAATAAGCTGGATACCATTGCTCGTCCCCGTGCATTTGACATATTGTGTATGAAGCCCATGGCAATCTTTTTACTGAAAATAACATTAGGGACCCCTTGGGGTCTCTGAAGGCCAAGGGCTCATCTAAAAATTGTAATGTGTGGGTGTATTCTGTGATTAAACATAAACAAAATACAGACAATTCTTCTTTTTCTAAACCTCTTTAAATCAAAAAGATCTGGATGCCATTTTGTTTTCATTTAGACCACTATTGTGAAAATTTTACGCTGTAACCTTAGCCACAGGCACAATTATCGGACCCGGGAAGAAAATAACAAAAACCTCTTTGTTCGTCGATTTGTCAAAAAAGGTGAAATATATGCCCCCCTTAAAAATTCGATATTACTAACATGGGTATTAATTCAAGCAATATTTAGACATCAAATATGTGTCAGTTTTATTATTTTGTAGATAATAAAAGAATATAAATAACTTGCCTGTCTATTAGAAATCCCACTGTGGACCATCCCAACTGCATGTGTCCTTTCTTCTAGTGTCATTCGCTGCATCATTTAATAAATTTCAATGTTTCAATAATTTTATGACTTCATGACGTGTAAGTCAATACACAGCAAATTCTTACCAATTTTGTAGGTGTACAATTTTTGTATAAATGACAAGATACAAAATGCACGGAATGCACGTGCATCTCAAAACAGATAGACTGGTTTACATGCCAAAATATTATCAACCCGTTTTATGACGGTAGACGAAAATCGATCAAATTAATACTTTAAATAAAAAAGATAATAAAAGATGAAAATGTGGAGTTAAAAAAGCCGTTAAGTGTATAAGGAGAGACCCGTCCAAATTAAGATGAAAGTAGTGTGATTCTGAGTCCATAATAGATAGTTACAATGCCGTACAAAGGAGTGTCCAAAAATCTGTATTTTCTGCGAACTGGACGCTGCCATGTTGAATCTCACCGGAAGTCATGTACGTAGTCTCGTACACAAGACTTACATAATCAATCTAAAATTAATTCACAA